GGGATGATGGTCACATGACCAATTACCAAAAATGGTCAAAAACAAAAGTTGTAGCCCTACACTGTAGCTTCCTGAATCTGTTTGAATTATGTTCTGAAGTGCTCNCATTGTGGAGATATGAGGTAAAGCAATCCCAAAAGTGTCGTGTTTTTTTTAGTTTTTTGCATTTTTCTCCATGAAAACCAAACCAAACAATATGATTTCAGTATATTTAGAAAGCTAAAAGAAAGGGCTACAACTATTGTATCGTGGGAAAAATGACCAAAAAAGGAAGGTGCATGCCCTAGAAAAGGAATGGTCAGATATAGACTACCAAGTTTACTGATAGACTACAAAAAAGTCGGACGCAACTACAAAGTTTACTGATAGACTACAAAAGTCGGACATAGACTACAAAAGTCGGACATAGACTACAAATTTTACTGATACACTACAAAAGACTACAAAAGTTGGACTTAGAGCCTTTAGAAAAGGTTGTCCTGTCCACTTTTTTAGACTACAAAAGTTTGTATTGTCCGCTTTTTTATTGGAAAAGTTTGTAGTGTCTGCTTTTTCATTTGAAAAAGTGTGTAATGTCCGCTTTTTTAGACTACAAAAGTTTGTAGTGTGCGCTTTTTCATTAGAAAAGTTTGTAGTGTCTGCTTTTTAATTTGAAAAAGTGTGTAGTGTCCGCTTTTTTAGACTACAAAAGTTTGTAGTTGACATGTAGATTATGGTGTCCTTGGCCCAGTCTAGGTTATGGGGATGAGGTTGAATGATTGACATGACCTTACATATTGCCAGTGCTGCAGCATTAGTTTTTGAGATCATGCACAAGTTGTCTTTCACATTAGGAAAGGCTATTCTAAGCTTTTCATATTGATACCTACTGTCCTATCTCAAAACATAATAAGTTCATGTGGGGATATGGCTGAAGGATTGCCATGACTTTACATATTGCTATTGCCACATTATCAGTTTTTCACATCATGCCCACTGTCTGCTTTCACATTGATAGCTACTGGCCTGTCCCAAACATAGTCAACTTGTATATCAGCTCTTTGAGGGCTATAGGATGATGAGCTGATTCATCCTGGGAGGTGTCCTCAAGTCAGGTCATGTTGTAAGTTGACCATGTATCCATGTATTGAGACAGAACAGTAGATATCAACATGAATGGCCTCCTCTGGCTTGAAAGCCAACTGG